TAGAATAATATACTGTAAATAAATTGGAGAACAGTTAAAAATGCCTACATCACACAGTGTGATGTACACAGACTCAGTGTAACCCCTCTCACAATTCCAATGAAATTCTTCATGGAAATAGAAAACAAAAATTCTAAAATTCACATAGAACTACAAAAGCCCCCAAAGAGCAAAAATAACAATGAGAAAAATGAAGCTGGAAACATCACATTTCTTGATTTAAAATTACTGCACATGGGAAACAGTAATCAAAGTAGAATTTTTTCACACACACAGAGAAACGGAACAGAAAAGAGACCAGATATCGATCTACACATACATAGTGACATTTGGCAAGGCCACCAAGTGACACAGTGGGGACAGAACAGTCTCCTTCGTAAATGGTGTTGAGAAAACTGGTATCCACAAGAAGAACTGAACCTTCCCTCCGCCCCACCCTTTTTTTTAAGAACCAGTGAAGAGAAAGAAAAAATGAGTAAAAGAAAGAAGGCTGTAAAATTAGGTGAAGGCCACGTCACGGAAGGGCACAAGAAATTTTGGTATTTTATTTGGCAAGAAATGAAACTGGAGATCATGGAGCTATGTAATTTTTTATAAAGGCCAAAGGATGAATTTGGTTCTAAAGTTCAAAATGAGTGCAGTCCATTATACTGCAGCATGGAAAGTAGCTACACTATAGTTTACTTTAAGTAAAGAAAACGCAGATACATGTTATGTATCACTTTAATAACCACGACTGAAAGAAAACACTTTGTTGTGAAGTATAGACAACCAAAGATTTAAACCCAACTTTTATTCAAACATTCTTCATTTCTATTTCCCCAGCCAGGCACACTTTTCATTTGGAAATCAGTATTTCAGGACTGGTGCTGCTGTGCAGTAGTCAAGCTGCCACCTGCAGTGCTGCCATCCCATGTGGGTGGCCAGGTTGAGTCACAACTACTCCACTTCTGACTCTGCTTCCTAGTGTACCTAGGAAAGCAGGGTAAGATGGCCATGGTTCTTTGGCCCCTCTGTCCCTGTGAATGAACTCTGGAAGCAGCTCCTGACTCCTAACTTTGGTCTGACTCAGACCTGGGAGTGACCCAGAGAATAAAGGAACACTGCCTGTCTCTATCTCTGCCTTTCAAATCAATCAATCAATCAATCATAGAGGAGAAATTTCAGGGTCCAGTGCAGTAGCCTATTGGCTAAAGTCTTCTTTGTCTTGCACATGCCTAGATCCTATATGGGCACTGGTTCTAATCCTGGCAGCCCCACTTCCCATCCAGCTCCCTGCTTTGTGGCCTAGGAAAGCAGTTGAGGATGACCCAAAGCCTTGGGACACTTCACCCGTGTGGGAGACCCAGAAGAGAATCCAGGCTCCTGGCTTCAGATCTGTACAGCTCTGTCTGTTGAGGATACTTGGGGAGTGAATCAATGGATGGAAGATCTTCATCTCTATCCTCCTCTCTATATATCTGACTTTACAATAAAATTAAATAAACCTTAAAAACATCAGTGTTTCTCAAAACTGATGAGACAAAAAAAATCCAAATTAATAATGGAAAGCAGCTGATGTGTGCAGCAAACCAGCAGCACAAATGGAGAGCATTAAAAAAAATCACAAATTGAAATAAAAAATCCAAGATGTTATCTCAAAGCAATAATGTTATCAGGAAGAATTAAAAATCTCTAGTTAAAGCCAATGAGGACTTGCAGGCTAATTTTGACTTTTACTCCTTGGGTTAGTTGAAATCAGAAAACTGTACTCAGAGTACAGTGAACTTTGGATACTTTGTTTTCTCAAAACCACCTTCCCTTGCCTGCTCCTTTTTCTTCTCATGTCCCCTTCCAGATCAGCTCAGGGATGGAATGCGACCAAGTACGGAAAAAAATGAAAGTATTTCTCCAGGGTTTTATATCATTTGCTGCCATGCTTTGTTATGAGTTGAAAGTGTCCATTACTATCATCGCCTCACCCTTCACCCTCACTGCAAAGAAAATATCCCTACAGAAAACAACTTGGTTATAAACAAAACTTAATCCAAGCAAGGGGGAAAAAATCAGAGCCAAGACTGGGGACAAGGTGACTTCTTTGCATGTTTGGCTATAACCATGTCTGGACTTCCCTGTTTAAAAGTCAGTAAATTGGGCCTGGCGCAGTGGCGCAGTGGTTAAGGTCCTCACCTTGCACGCCCGGGATCCCATATGGGCGCTGGTTCTATCCCAGCAGCCCTGCTTCCCTTCCAGCTCCCTGACTGTGGCCTGGGAAAGCAGTCGAGGACGGCCCAAAGCTTTGGGACCCTGCACCCACGTGGGAGACCCAGAAGAGGCTCCTGGCTTTGGATCGGCCGTTGCGCTCACTTGGGGAGTGAATCATGGGACGGAAGATCTTCCTCTCTGTCTCTCCTCTCTGTATATCCGCCTTTCCAATGAAAAAATAATAAAAAATAAATCTTTAAAAAAAAAAGTCAGTAAATTGTCTTTCATGCTGACATTTGAGATGAATTCTTATCACTTGGAACTGAAGGAGTGGTTAATAAATAAAAGCACCTGAGGCAGGTGCTTAAGATGCTATTTGGGACATCCACATCCAGGTCTGACTGTTTTCCACCCAGCTTCCTGCTAACACATGCCTTGAGAGGCGGCAGGTGATAACTCAAGGATAGGGATCCATTTCACCACCCACACTGCATTCTGCCTTCCAGGCTCTTGCGCAGTTTTCAGTCTTTTGAATAAAATGAAATAAAAAAAATTACAAGTCCTAATATCTACCTGAATATAATTGACACAATTAGTACAATATGATTAAATAAGAGTAGGCTAGCAATTTATGAAAAAGTTAGTAGTATTAATTCAGGTGAAGCATATCATGTAATAGAAATCTAGCAATATGAAATTTGATATGACACACAATATATGCCAACCTAATTACATAAAATGTAGAAAGGAAACTGTTGGCACCACAGCTATGTGCTTAACATTTCATTATGAACTGTGAAACCTGAATCTCACTGCTTCCTGCACAGAAACAAAACTGCTCAACTACACGTTGGAATCTTTAATATCTATTACAATCATTCTCTTTAATTCATATTTATAATAGGAACAGGTGCAAGTTTTGTTTACTGTACACTTTGTGACTATTAATTGCATAGGCAACAATTAGTATTTATGAAAGGCCTGGCTTCCCTTTGAAATCATTGTTTAAAAAACAAAGAAGGCCAGGTGAAATTTTTCTTCTTTTAAAATGGGATTCGTGAATAAAACACAGTATTCTGAACTTAACTCGGGTCAAGGAATTGTTTATTCATCAGAATTTGTGAAGAACCAGGAATGGAGAGGGCCTCTAAGTCCCACAGAACTCTAGGACTCTTGGTGAATTATTCCAGTTTCACCCTTTCCAAGTCCCTGACATGCTTTTTCACTAAAACACATGTTTATTGCAAATCCTGTGGGGGTGAATGTGAATATTAATCAGATGAAGTGGTGGTTATATTTAGGTGAACTTTGCTGGTTAAACTCTTTCCTAAAAAAATAGCCTGTAATTGAAAAGTTTAATGGAATTCTAGAAAATAGAGCTGGCAGAGATGCATTAGATCATGCATAATTTTTTAATCTTTCTTTTCCCTCCTGGGTAGAGTAAAGTACAGGACAAATCCTCTGGTTTTTGACCAGTTTTCAATTTAAAGTCTAAAAGGGATAGAACTCAACGCTTTTCTTGGAAATGAGACTACATCACAACAGACTTCACTGTTAGCAAATTCCTCTCCACCCTGACATTCAGATCACATGCTTTTTGTGTACTTTACCCTACTTTTCCCAATAACAACTTCATGGCATACTTGATTCAATTCATTCTATTTCCTGCCTGTTTCCAGCAAGACACATTGAACCTTTAGCTTAAATTTGGATCCCTTGAAATCCTGTTTAGTTTTGATATTCAGTATGATAGTGTATATAACTCCATGTAAATTTTTATAATACTAGAGGATTCACAAAGCTGCTTTAAGATGTACATGAATCTCTGAAATTGTAAGGCCTTCCTTTTGATTAATCACATTTCTATTAGTAGTTTTATGACATCTTTTTATCACCATTGTCTTGGGATTATTTTTTCTATTTTCTAACCCTAGTTACGTACTTGTGTTCCATGAGCTTATATCAACACTCAACTTACCATCTTTTCATATTTCTACTCAGTTTCTTTAATGACTCTGCCATTTCTTTTTCGCATTTCCTGTTGGTCTAAAATTTACTCAGTATTTAAACTGAAAGTCCACCTTTTCAAAAGCACTCTTAATAATAACCCCTCCCTCCATTCCTGTGTCATCTATTCAAATGTAAAAAATTTTTTCTCATCAAACCATTAACCAGTTTCTTTTGCAGGACTTGGAGCATCCTTCTGTCTCCCATTCCTCCCACCAGGCTGCAACCACTGCCAAGAGAAATCTCAGCTTAAAGAAGCCATAGAGGAAATGCTCCCTTTTCCTTTATATATAACAAAAGGGAGGAATGGAAGGAGTTATTCGAATATCCCACCCTGGACCCAGAGCCAATTCCTCTTCCTCATAGCTCAAGAAATTCACGCCAGTCCAGCCTTTTACCAATCAGATTTAACCCAGCATTTCACCTGAGAATCCCACCCCCAATCTCTCAGCTCCTTCCTCAACCCCGTCCACTTACCAATCATCCTTAGGCAATCACCTGTGTCAGTCTCAGGAACCAATCCCCTGGGGCCTGCCCTCAATCCCTCCCAATCCCTGCCTGCCATACCTAGCGGGCTCACCTGAATGGCATAAAACAGCCCCCCAGATGCGGCTCGCTCTCTCTGCTCCTTCCAGCCTCCCCAACCCCTTTACTCCCCTTCCACTTCGCCTTCCCACCAGCTTGGTCAAGTTCCTGCCCTGCTGGAATAAACCTCCTACGATTAATAAAAAAAAAAAACCTGAAAATGAATTTTATTAATATCCAATGTTATCACTGCTTTTTAAACATTAAGAACACAGATGCAATACAGATTAATAATCCTTTATATTTATGCTGTAGCTTCATAACTACATAACCATCAGTAAAATTAGGAAACCTTAATTTTAATGTGAACTTTCAGAAGGTACAAATTAAGCCATATATATATACATATATACAAACACTCACATATGTACATATACATTTTATAACACACTGAAGAGCTCCAAGTATTCTGTTTAGTTCTTGCTAAACGCATCAAAACACTATATCACACTGGTCACTACAACATCTCTGGTGTGGTCATGATATGAATGGACTTGGAATGGGATCAGAGGAATGAATTTGTAAGACAATGTTTATTCTGTGAAAAAGTAGAGTCAAATTTGTTGGCACTCAAGAGTCAAACAATGTGAAGTTGTTGATTTTCTGAGTAGACTGTAGGAAACTGTGGTTGCAAGAATTTATTCAGCCTTTACACAAGACACTGTATTGGAAGTTTCCTAAGGACAAAAGCTGTTTTAACAGTTAACTTACATAGAAAACCCCACATATAGAATGCTGATGGAGGAGCAGTTCTCTTTGACAAGATGGTGCATTTGACACCATCTTTCTGTTTAGAGATTCCACTAAGGGGAATGCCAACTTTGCAGTTAACACAGGTTATCACTGGGTTTGGTATTGTATTGAACTGACAAATTAAAAATTTCAGCCTGTAGAATTAAACATAGCTGAAAGCCAAGACTTAACACACACTATATTCTTCAGACGGAAAAAAACGGGGTTATAAACATAAATGGAAAATTTACAAGTCAGTTGATTAAAAAGGTTATAAAATGCACTTTTAAAATTTAAGACTGTTTAATTCCTTTTCAAGCAAACAAAAAATTACAACCATAACATCACAATCACCTAACAGTCTAACAGTGCATTGTCCTTCCCCAACTGTCTGGGAATTTTCAATTTCTTCCAGAAAGAGAGTTCAATTTTTCTTTGCCAAAGTTCTTGGTAGATTCACTTTTCACTGGAAAAAAAAAAGTAAACATACAGTCAAATGTTTATACTGTTTCTGTTTAGCCTGTTCTGTTTTTTCCTCTTCTCTCCTCCCTTCTGATGCATAGCAACAGCACAGCTCACGAGGACAGACAAACTGTGTCATGTTCCAGGCAGCTAGAATATACAATCACAGCCACAATAGAGATGTCAAAGTGGCAATTATATCTTGTGAGGTAACATCCCTCTTAACTGTGTGGAAGACTTGAGAATGGTCACTTCAACGTGTGGTTCTGATCGCACTCATGCCACTAGATCACTACTATCACACAGGCTGGCCACATGTAGCAAAATAGATTTTTCCATGATTTTCTGTATGAACTTAACAACTGTAGGTCAGTTTACACTGAGTGACACTGGGTTGGCAGAAGCCACCATCTTCTTTTCACAGGGAAATGACTCAGAACAGAGGGAACTCCTTGGATGCTCCTCTCTTGCCTGAGTGAGCAGGACTAACTAGCAGATGGATCACATTGAGTTCCTTTAGAATGTAAGACTAGATTATAATTTTTAAATTGCTAAGGTTAAAACAGAGTGAATGATCAAGGGCTCACAACTTATGAACACTCCTGCTGGAACTGTAACCCTAGACTTTGTCTCATATTCAACTGATGGCACCTAGGTCTCATGTTGTATCAGCAACTAAAGTTGTGTGTCTTTCCTGTGAGTAATGCACCAAATTAAGTTCTACTCAGAAAACTCTCTCAAAATAACAGTTTTCCTATGCTTCCTCCATAATTTATATCCAATATGTATGCAATTCCAATTATAACACCTATTTGCCATGAAGTTTATGTGTGTGTTCATGAGTCTGAGACACCCATTTAAAGGGAGAAAACAGGGCAAGAAGGAATGTGAGGAAGATGAGTGGAAGGAAGGATTTATTGGACCAAAAAGAAATGGACAGATTAGCAGAACTAGTTTGCCCAGTCTTTGCCCTCAAACATGTATAGTAATCTTGCTTAACAGCAATTTTCTCTTCTTTGCTTAAATTGAAATGTAGTCATTTAAATCTGCTTGTCTAGGCTGGCACTAATGTTTAAGGCCTCGATCTGAGATCCTGGTATTCCACATGGAGGTCAATTCATATTCCCGCTGCTCCACTTCTGATCCAGCTCCCTGCTAATGACCTGGGAAAGCAGCAGAAGATGGCCCAAGTGTCTGCACACTGGCCACCCATGTGAGAGATAAGGGCCTGTCAAGCAATGTGCACCATTCTTTGTTAAGATTTATTTTTATTATTTTTTTATTGGAAAGGCAGATATACAGAGAGGAGAGACAGAGAGGAAGATCTTCCGTCCCATGATTCACTCCCCAAGTGAGCGCAACGGGCCGATACTATGCCGATCCAAAGCCAGGAGCCTCTTCTGGGTCTCCCACAGGGTGCAGGTTCCCAAAGCTTTGGGCCGTCCTCGACTGCTTTCCCAGGCCACAAGCAGGGAGCTGGATGGGAAGCGGGGCTGCCAGGATTAGAACCGGCACCCATATGGGATCCCGGGCGTGCAAGGTGAGGACCTTTAACCACCTGCGCCACCGTGCTGGGCCCGGTGTGCACCATTCTTAAAAGTACTATATTGATGTAAGTTTTTCTATTTTAAAGTTATATTTATTTATTTAAGATTTATTTATTTTTATTGGAAAGGTGGACATACAGAGAGGAGGAGAGACAGAAAGATCTTCCATCTGATGATTCATTCCCCTAGTGGCCGCAATGGCTGCAGCTGAGCCAATCCGAAGCCAGGAGCCAGGAGCTTACTCTAGGTCTCCTACACGGGGGAAGGGTCCCAAGGCTTTGGGCCGTCCTCAACTGCATTTTCAGGCCACAGGCAGGGAGCTGGATGGGAAGTGGGACCGCCGGGATTAGAACCGGCGCCCATATGGGATCTTAGCACGTTAAAGGTGAGGACTTTAACCATTATGCTATTGTGCCAGACCCAATGTGCTATTTTATTTTAGACACAGTTATAGGGGAAAGTCTTCCATCAGTGGGTTCACTCCATAAATGGCTGCAAAAGCTGGGGTTGGGCTAGGCCAAAGCCAGGAACCAGGAGCTTCTTCCAGGTTTCATGTGGGTGCAGGGGCTCAAGCACTCAGGCCATTAACCAGGCATATCAACAGAAAGTTTTTTAGTTAGTGAAGCAAAGTTGGAATCAAAGCAGCACCCACGGTCACATGTAGACCTGTACCATAGGCACCAGCTTAACCTTCTATGCCACAGTGTCAGTTTCTCTATTTCCATTTATTTACTTCAGAGACAGAATGAGTTTCCATCTGCTAGTTCACTCCTCCAATGTCTGCAATGGCTAGAATGGGATGCGATTAAAGCCTGGGAGGTAAGAATTCAACTCTGGTTTGCCAAGCCAACAATTCAATTAACTTCAGGCACCGCCACTACCTCCCAAGGTCTGCAATTAGCAAAAAGCTGGAGTCAAGACTCGGCTCCACTTATGAAACTGGGGTACACTGATATGGAATATCAGCATTTTAATCATTATTAGGCCAAATACCTCTCCTAAGCCAAACCATTCGAAGCACTTTCTACTGTCAGCAAGGCAGGTAATCAGTACTTATTACTTCTAATCTGGTGGCCCAGCTTAATTGCTTACTCTATTTCAGTCACTTCCCTTCATTCTTTAAAAAGCAATAGACAAGGTTTTTTCTTTTTTTAAAAGATTTATTTTATTTTTATTGGAAAGGCAGATATACAGAGAGGAGAGACAGAGAGGAAGATCTTCCGTCCGATGTTTCACTCCCCAGGTGAGCGCAACGGGCCGATGCTATGCCGATCCGAAGCCAGGAGCCTCTTCCAGGTCTCCCATGCGGGTGCAGGGTCCCAAAGCTTTGGGCCATCCTCGACTGCTTTCCCGGGCCACAGGCAGGGAGCTGGAAGGGAAGCGGGGCTGCAAGGATTAGAACCAGCGCCCATATGGGATCCCGGGCGTGCATGGTGAGGACCTTAACCACTGCGCCACTGCGCCGGGCCCAGGGCAGGATTTTTTTAAAACCTTGTCTACTGGGCCCGACATGATGGCGCAGTGGTTAAGGTCCTCGCCTTGCATACCCGGGATCCCATATGGGCGCCGGTTCTAATCCCGGCAGCCCTGCTTCCCACCAAGCTCCCTGCCTGTGGCCCAGGAAAGCAGTCGAGGACAGCCCAAAGCTTTGGGACCCTGCACCCGCGTGGGAGACCCGGAAGAGGCTCCTGGCTTCGGATTGGCATAGCATCGGCTGTTGCGCTCACTTGGGGAGTGCATCATCGGACGGAAGATCTTCCTCTCTGTCTCTCCTCTCTGTATATCTGCCTTTCCAATAAAAAAATAATAAAAGTAAATCTTTAAAAAAAAAAATCCTGCCCAGTGTCGACTGATACAGGCAGATATTTGAAAAGAATAAATTATGGCAATCTATAATCACAATAAACATTATAACAACCATCGAGTGTGGAAACTACTGAATTCCAGCCCAGACACACATTTCCCCCAACTAGAAAAGAGACACCTTGTACTATAAACTCAGGATCAAAATCCAACTTTTTTTCTTTGCCTTTGGAGAGAGAAAGAATTTTAAGGCTTTCCAAAGAAAATGCCTTGTTCATATATAATCCCCTCCCTCATTAAGTGACCACCTGCAGATTATCCGATGCTATGAGAATGACAAAGGAAGAGGCACCCTGAATAGCTTCCAAGACTGTATGTGAACATAGGAAGATTTGGCACTACTGTCAAGGTATGTTTAGCTTCAATGATAACATTGACAGTGGTCTTAAACTCCTGTCAGATCTTCAGTTCCTTGGCTACAGCAGTTCTAAATAAGTCCTCTGTACTAAAAGCACATGTTGCCTGTTTTCTTGTAAATAAGTTTAACATTATATACCTACCAAGAGCAAAGCTTATTTAATAAGGCTCCAAGAACCTACACGAAAGTGGGTTTTTCTTATTGCTTCATTACAGGAAGCCTTACTTGGACATGCATTTCTAAACAAGGTGAAAGAGGAGCTGTGTGAGCTGTGTTTATTTACACAGACAATGTTTGCCCTGGCTAGTAACTGACATTACTAACAACTTTCCCTGAAACTAACATTTAGAGAGGGAATATATTAAGGAAAAAGTAAGGTTTTATAAAGTTCTAAAAAAAATGGAACTGGTCATTTAAAGCTACAGCTCCTATGTATTTTAAGAAACAAAACTGTCCCTCAAATTATGAAAAATATAAAGAATGAATACAAGATTTAGAGGCTCATATTAATAACTGAATAATTCATATTTGCTGATTACAATCTGGTATCAGTTTGTGGCACTGACAAAATTTAGCTTATCTTGAGGGAAAAAAAAGATGTATTCTGTTAACTTTTACCAGGAATAAAAAGCTATGCACATATAAAGAAAATACCTTATAATGTAAGTTCACTGCTTCTGACAGTCCATGCACCAGTTTAACAGTGAAACTTGGACAGTAAGTAATGCGTATGTGTGTGTGTATACATATTATTTGTTTTGTTCCAAAGAGCTCAATTTACGGCAAAGGATTTCACATTTCTCAGAAGGACCTTAGAATGAAACCTGGCTTGGATCTGTAGTTCTTAGCTCAAAGTAGTGTCCGATAGTTTTAATCATCTTTTAACTGAGTTTTATTCATGCTATGGAATCCTATTCAGAAATGTAAGTCATTTTATCCACTATTAGCACTGTGGCATAGTAGATTAAGCTGCTGCCTATGGCGCAGATCTCCATGTGACCATGGGCACTGATATGGTTCCAATTGCTTCGCTTCCTAAAAAACTTTCTGTTGATATGCCTTTGTGTTTCTTTTCTTCTTTAACTCAAACACTTCTCCATATGGCCAAGGGCACAAAATCAAGAGGAAAATATGCTTAAAAGATGATGTCGAGTGTTAATAGCACTAGCTTGTTCTAAATACAACTAAATTCTATAACAAAATATTTCTTGCCACCTTATATTTTGTTACAAGGTAGGACAATAAAGCCCTTCTGTAATTCATCAATTAGGATTCTGTCAAGAGTTTTAGTGCAGTGGTGTAGCAAACTAATTTTCCACCTGAAGTGCTGGCATCATTACATGGGTGCCAGTCCAGGTCCTGGCTGCCCAATGTACTGATCCAGCTCCCTGCAGTGGCTTGGGAAAGTAGAGGAGTATGACTCAGGTCCTTGCACCCCTGTACACATGTGAGTTTCAGAGGAGGCTCCTGGCTTCCATCTTCAGATCAGCTCAGCTTTGGCCACTGCAGCCATTTGGGGAGTGAACACTGGATGGAAATTTTTGTTTCTCTCTCTATATATAATTCTGACTTTCAAGCTCAATAATTTTTTAAAAGGAGTTTTAATTAGGGAGTAAGCTTATCTGATCTTGGACTAAGACTGCTCCGTAAAGACTACTGGATTCATCAATAAATGAGGAAATGAATGACTGAGAGAGAAAATAACAGAACCCCAGTGAGGCCAAGTTATCTCTTACAGCTTGACACTTAGTTTTACTCATTCATGTAAAATGGGCACCACAAGCTTACACACTTTCCAGCAGGTCAGAAAAAGCAGCACACTCATTTGATTTCTTACATTACTAACAAATATAGTCAACTATAGAAAAGTGAAAACATAAGAGAAAAACATACGAAAAGATGTAAGGTCAGTCTTACAAATGCTTCAGATTCTCTAGATATTTTAAGCACTGCAGAAACAAATTTATGTCTACCTTGTTGAAGAATTTTCATGTCATTACTGGATCCCTTCAACACCACATGAAATGTTGGGTATTCAATGATCACTTTGTTCCTCAGATTGTCTAGGAGACTTTTATGAAGATCCAGTTCATAGTACCTTTTTAATAAAAAATCAAAATCAGAGCACATTGCATTAAAATTTTTAAAGGTGACAACATTAAATCAGTAGCTATTTCCTTAGGATAAAGTGTTTAATATCTTTTACAAAAATTTAAAAAGAGGCATTATTGAGGATATTTAAACAAAAAATATGTAAGATATGCTTACGTAAGAACTCTAGAACAAGTCATCAATATTCACTAATAGAATAGCTGGTCTTCTGTAACATCTATACTTATTGTGTCATGAATCTTTGTCATATATAAAGATAAATAGATGAAGATCCAAACTCTTCGAATATATCAACTTTAAACCTTATTTGAAACAAAGCAGAACAAAACAAAAAACCGTATTTGGTGATAATTTCTAGTATCACAAGGTAGCAAAAAGACCTGGTTACAGAACACTCTTACAATAATGCCAATAGTAACTGGTGTCTGTAACTTTGTAATGTCACACAATGAAATATGGCCTTCCTCCATTTTGAAACTGAAACTGACAGTATAAGTCATACACCATGGCACAGCTGTTCAATCTACCACAGGTAGACATTAAAATTCATTAAAGTGTACAATTCTTATGCTATTACTTAAAAACTTAAAGTCTGGGTTGATTAAAGACGTATTCCTGTAACTCTTTCTGGGGTGGGATAGAAAGGCAGAATTTCAGCTAGCTCATCAGTGGCTGCACAAGGGAATATGTTGGCACGTGAACATTCATGTCAGTCAACAGGGAGAAAGCTGGGAACAAGCTTAGTGATATAGTGCAGAACGTCCCCAGCTTTCTTACTCATGTCTACAAATGACACATGATATTTATGTGCAAAATACACATTCCATGGCATACCCAGTTGACAGCTGCAACACCATGCTTTCTTAGTCACGTAACAAAACAAACTTAAATAGAGTGCTCAAGACTGAGGTTATCTCTGGGATACAGCTGAATCTTGTGCAATTTAAAGAGTAAATAAATCATTTATAAACTTGCATGTTTCTGAATTAGCAACAAATTATTTGCACCAGATCTCAGCAGATAAGCAGCAGTTGCTAAGTGCTCTGGTGTAGTAACTTTTCTGTGCTCCAAATCTGTGCCATGCAACAATGGTCAAATAGAACAGCAATGATAAACAAAATGCAAAGCCAGGTCAACCTACTATGAAAACGAATTGCTTCCTTGACCACCTATTCCACCACTGGAATTAAATGATAAAGTCTAGAATCACTGTACACTTTATGTTGATAAAAACTCTGAAATGTAATTTTTCTAAACCAGTTATCCTACGGTCCAGAGATCACAGAACATATACACATATACATTCTTGTCCATGGGTAATATGATACAGATGTTCTTACAGTCTTTTACATTTTTTTTTTTTAAACCAAAGCAAGCTTTATTTAAGAAAGTGAGAGAGAGGTTTCCTGTCATAGAGATGGGAGGGCAACTCTAAGGAAGAAAAGATCCCATAGCTTCACATCTTTTAAGCATCATTTCTCTTAATCATACAAACACAAATTACCTTGTGCATGTAACTGAATCATAAGGCTTCCATTAAGAGACATTTCAAAAATTAGAATGCTTTCCTCTTATTTCAGTTTTTTTGTATATAATTTTCAATGTACACTTCATGTTTTGGCTGTTTTACTTTTTTAACACTAAATCTTTGCTAAAATCCTTTAGATCTCCAAAGTTAAACAAGGCATAACAAAAAAGGTTCAAAAGTCACATGGGAATTTGAGTCTAATGTCATTGCTGATACTGTGTAAAAAAGCTGCAAACAGGAAAATGTTCAGAGAAACATAAAAATACAAGCATATGACATGTTACACATTCTTTCAATTCTAAAATTGTAATGATTACATTTACTTACTGGGGGGGTGGATTTTGGCTCCAATATTCTGTGTCAAGCAGGCATTTTATAAGGCACTCAGAACATAAAGATTTAAAACAACTAATACACCATTTTGATGTTAAAGAAATGCAAAGAAAATGCGGAATGTTTTGTGTTTTAATTTTTATTTACTTAACAGAAGGGAGACAGACAGGAAAAAAACAAAAACAAAACCAAAAAAAAAAAAAAAACCCAGATAAAAGAGACCTTCCATCTGCTAGCTCACTCTTTAAACGCCCACAATGGCCAGGACTGCGCAGGGTCAAAGTTGAGAGCTGGCAACTCAATCCACATCTCCCATATGGGTATCATACGGGAACCCAAATACTTGAGCCACAAATGTTGCCAACCTGGAGTTAGGGAGGCTAAATGCCCATTACATGTGTTGATCAGCATCACTGGAGTTTAGTTAGTATCAGAATGCCACCATTTTCTAACAGAGACAACAATGCCTGCTAGTGAGCAGCAGTATGCTTTAGACTGCGGGTTTTTAGCCTGTTACCTGAAAAATCAGAGTTCACACTAATAATCTTTTAGCTGAAATGCTCAGTGTCTTATATTTTTTTCCTTTACTAGTAGTTACTCAGCCAACCATTACAACCAGCAATGTAAAAGCAAATTATGTAAACTCTTCATTAAGAAAGGTTATCAAACTATATGGGCTTAACCTTTCATGGACATAAAATTTAGTTTAACGAAACAGTAACATGTAGTGGTTTTATAGGTTTGAAGTCACTGAGCAATAACCCTAGCTCATTCACTGGTTTGTGGAACATTATAAGTGACTTAACTTCTTTAATCCCTCTTTCTTGTGCTTGATGATAAAAATAATGAATAATTAATAATAAAGTCATATAATAAAACACAGGAAGTTAGCTCATTTACTCAATAAAACGCATCACATAACCCTGAGCACATTTTAAAAGAGTTATTTATTTTTACTAGAAAGGCAGATTCACAGAGAGAAGGAGACACAGTGAGAAAGATCATCAATCCACTGGTTCACTCGCTAAGTGGTTGCAACGGCCTAAAGCCAGGGGCAGGAGCTTCTTCTGGGTCTCCCAGGCAGGTGCAGGGTCCAGGGCTGTGGGGCATCCTAGACTGCTTTCCAGACCTCAGCAGAGAGCTGGATGGGAAATGTAGTAGTTGGGATACAAACCAGGGCCCATATGGGATCCTGGCGTATGCAAGGCAAAGACTCTGGCTACTAGGCTGCAGCACAGGGCCCAATAAGCACATGTTTTAGAATTCTACTTATCTAAAAGAACATGGCACCCTTAAAATCATTTATTTGAGACACAGAGATACTGAAACATACACAGAAAGATAGCCAGAGAAAATTTTCCCTCTGTGCTAGCTCACTCATCAAATGCCCACAACAGCCAGGTCAGGAACAAGACAGACAAGGGATTAGGACTTCAATCTAGGTCTCCCAGGCAGTGTCAGGGATATAACTATTCAAGACACCATCTGCTGCATCCTAAACTGTCAATTTGCAGAAAGCTGTAGAATAGAACATGGTCTTAAACCTAGGCACTCTGATATGGGATACAGGCATTCCAACTGGTAGCTTAACATCTAAGCCAAACAACCATTCACAACAGACTAAAACTTTAATATAGAGGGCCAGCATTGTCGTGTGGCAGGCCAAGTCTGATTGCTCCATTTGGAAATGGTTCCATTTCCATTCCAGGACCCTGCCAATGAACCTGAGAAAGCAATGAAAGATGACTCAGTTGCTTGGGCCCCAGCACCCATGTGGAAGACCCAGAATAAACTCCTTGCTCTTCACTTGCTGGCCCATTGCAGTCATCTGGGGAGTAAACCAGCAGAAGCAGGACCACTATTCATTCCTCTCTCTAAGTTTGCCTTTCAAATGAACAAACAAGAAGTCACCTTTGTTCAGTATAGCCAAAATTTTTTTCTTACAAATAAGGAACTGCAGGCACTGAGCACATTATGACTTCCAAGGCTGAAAAAAGCAACTAAAAAATTATTTTGGTGTAAAAAATGTGAAATCCATACAGTTTTTCATAATGCACATTTTATGAACTTTCTGAAGACCCCTCACATTTTCCTTTCTATGCATTTTAAGTATAGCCTTACAATGGCCAATATAACTTTCAAGCCATTCTTTCACTGTCACATTTACTTTAAAGAGGCCCAAAGTGCCTTAAATCTGTGTTTCTAGTATCATAAGACAAATTTTAGGACTCTAGCTTTGTTTGCACTGCCTAAAATATTTAGGCTTTAGCTACCCTGCCAGCATTAAGTCATTGATCCCTAAGGGACAGCTTTATCTTTTTGGAATTTTCATCAGCTCTGGCATTTCCATTAGAATGATTCTGCTACCACAAGACACACTAGTTAACTTAAGAAGAAGTAAAATACCAACATTTGTCTTTTCTTTTACCCTTAAACTCTCAGGCATTTTCTTTTGTTATTTCACTTGCTCACCCTCACAGGTTCATTGGTGACCTCTGTCTTGGGCAGCTTCACGGGGCCTTTACAAATAGTAGGCTAAACAGGTGTAAGGCTGACATTACAAAGATAACACTGTCTTGATATTCAGGGGTGCACTCTTAATCTTGGTTCTATTACTAACTTTCAAGGAAACAGATGAAATTCTTGAAGTTTTTTCTCTGTGTTTTACCATAAATAAGGGAGTTTTAAAAACAACTGCCCCCCACATGCCAACCTCCTGGAACTCAAAATGGGACAGATTTTAAAAGGGTGGGGTGCTCAGAAGCCAACTTCCCTTCTGACTACTGCTACTTTTTGGTTTCACCATCCCTTTTAATCCCTAAAAACATGGAACGTTGAAATTTCTTCAAATTTAGCCATCTAATTGCAATCCCTAGCCCACCATAGTCAAGGGATCCTTCCAGCCCTAAAATTTTAGATTTTTTTTTTAATAATGTATTTTTTATTTATTTGAAAGGCAGAGTGACACAGAGGTAGCACTAAACCTACATACTTGTTCAGTTGTATTTATTTTTCAATCTAGATTTCTGGGTAAAAAATTACAAATAACTCATTCTTCAAGCACAAAGCTGAGACTTTGGCTTAAAATAACCTTAATACAATACAGACCAGATGACTGCAATCTG